ATGAGTGCCATCATCCGGTCAGGTTCAGCGTAGCCACTAATCCCATTTAGCAACTTCCTCGACGTTGCACCATTTTTCAAGTTCGCCGCCGCCACCGTTATATCTTCCCACACCAAGTACTTTCCTGCACCTGCAGCTGATCCACTATTATTATTCTCTTTCAGTCGCTGATCTCCATAATAATCACTCGACCCCTCTGCCATTTTTACAGTACTGCTTAATGCTCACTGAGAACTCTAGAAATATCCTGCTTACATTTATAAGAGCCTAATGCTCACTGAGAACTCTAGAAATATCCTGCTTACATTTATAAGAGCCTTCGAAATGGGGGCTAGAGTTCTTTAACACCCCCCCCCCGGGCCGCGGCGACCCTTTGTACATTGATGCGTGAAAAGCAATTTGTTAAAAAGTATGAAAAAAAATCTGTTTCTACATTAAATATCATTAAAAATTAATATTAAAAGAAAAAAAATATACATATATTACTTAAATATTGTACGTCTCATGTTTTTAGACGTAAATATACTAATTAAGCTTACATAGCTTTTTTCAACCAATTCTTTTTCAATTGATAAAAAAAACTAACTCATTCAATATTTCTTGTGACATATTTGATCAACTTTTGAAAAACTTCTTTATGTAAAGACAACTATAACTGATATAGTTAACAAAATACTAAAAGTAACCCATGCATTCGGAAACAACCATGCAACTAGCATTAATATATATATATAAAATATAATAATAAAAAAATTACCGGTTGTCACGTTCTCCGGCAACCCTAAAGGCTGGCCTTGGCCCTAGCTACACTCAGAACACGTTCTCTCTTATCATGTAGGTGGAACACGGGTATGGACCGTACGGTAATACGGTAATATGTAGAGCACATTTTCAATTTTATCTTATCCATCTCTTTAATTTACTGAAATAGTTAAGGTTTGTCATAATATTAATAGGCAACAAATTTAGAGAGCATTCAGAGCAATTCTACCCCTAACACAAATACGCTAGCATCCAGCGCATTTATCCACTCAGTGAACAATGATAGAGCTCAATGAACAGTAATAGGCCAAATGTATCTCCACCCCTAAAAAAATACACCGGTACAAACGATCTCCATCCCTACAAAATACGCTGGCACCTAACTCATTTAAAATATTAATTTTTTTTTATAAAAGAATAAATAAATAAAATAGTTTTAATTTCGGATAAGATTTTTAACCAATCTCGTCACGTCACGTGTCATTATCCGAACGTACTATTTTGAGAATAGATTTCCGCTAAGATTTGCAATCAATCCTGACACGCCACGTGTTACTATTTGTTTATAATAATTTAGCCAAGATTACGATAAGATTTTCAACCAATCTTATTACGCCACGTGTCATTATCCGAATGTACTATCTTGTATATAGATTTTCGATAAGATTTTCAACCAATCTTGACGTGCCACGTGTCACTTCCTGTTTGCAATAATTTAGCCAAGATTTTCAACTAATCACGTAGTGCCACGTGGCATTGTCCAGAACTTCATCCTTTCTTTTTTTGTCCGTATAAACCCTACATCTCTACATCCATCCTCACACCAAACTCAATCCTACTTTTTAGCTCAAAATCCTTCTTCATCGTTTTCAAATCTTGAGTTTTTTTTACAATGTCTTCTTCAAGGAGAGTGCATAAACAATTTGAGGAGCAATAGAAAGGATTGTTTGCACAACAGGAAGAATTGATCAATCTTGAGGAAGGTAGAGGTGGAGATGAGGCTTTTGCAATGGAGGAGGATGAGGATGATGAACATAGAAGGCAGAGGGCCTCACATTCCCGCCGTGTCATGGAAGCTGTGGGTCAGATAGCCAAATCCATTTGTTGAATGATTTGTTGTGGTTCTTCGCATTGTAGAAAGCTTATGCTTGTAGTGTCTATAAATGTGGGATAAGACAATATTATAAAATGTGAGTATAACACAAATAAATAAATTAAAATATTGATGCGGGTGGAATACATATAAATAAATAAAAATATTGTCACCTGATCCACTAAACTTGTCCCACTACGCAAATTACCAGAAGCATGAGAGGTGGCGTTTTTCCAACAAGTAAATGATGTGTTGAGTTTTTACCAACGACCTTGAAGATCTTGACTACTTCTAGCGTCTTTTCCATGTATATTGCAAAACACTTTCGTAATTTTACTCCACATTTCTCGCTTATCCATCTCATTACCCATAATCGGGTCATGAGTTATGTGAACCAAACATTCACACAACGTAACATCTTCAATGCTTCCACGAAGTCATTTTTTTCTCTCAAAGTGTAGAAAATATTGAAATGTAGAAAGTGTAGAAAGTGTAGAAAATATTGAAATGTGGTGTAAGGTGGAAGATGAGGGTTAGGTATTTACAGAAGAATTTTTTTTTTTACAATTTTTCTGTATTTATATAAAAAAAATTCAGTATTTTTTCATAAATTTTAATAAATTTTAATTTAGTTAATTAATCTGGACCGTTGAATTTGAAAAATATTCAAATCCAACAGCCTATAAGGTGCCATATGGCCAACGGTTATAATTCTAACCGTTGGGCCTTTTTTTTTTAATTTTAATTGTTGGGGGGAAAACGTGGACCGTTGATCTATGATTGGACGGTACGGATCAAAACTGAAATTCAAAATTTTTTTACCATTGGACATCCAACGGTCTAGAAAAACTAGCCGTTGGAAATCCAACGACGTAGGCCGGGCCACATGGCCTCCCTAGCTGAGGTTTGAGTGTGCTGCGCATGCGGGCCCTCGTCTGCAAACTTGTTGGCCAATTGCGCCCATGCGCGCCTGTATTGCACGCGCCTAGCGCAAAAGAAATTTGAATTACCCTCCGACGCCACATTGGTGTCAGCATGGCGTCAGATGGGGCGGTCCCAAGGTCTATCAATTTTGGGCTAGCCTGGAGACTAGCTTAGGCTGGGTGCTAGGCAATCTGCTGGCCTGGAGAGACTTCCCTAGGTGCCAGGCCATTTTTTTGGCTGTGTGCCAGCCTATCTCACCCCTGGTGGAAGTGCTCTCAAGAAATTACAAGGTTTGATAAGCTTATTATACTTCTTTCATTTACATGCAAAGGCTATAATAGTCATGAATTAGGGAAGAGAAACAAAGAAAGGGAATATGAGATTACGGAATTTAAGGTAAAACCCACACTATTTTCGATTTTTCTATATGATAATAAACACAAAGAAAGTTATAAAATAGAATAGTCTTGATGAGCATATTTTAGTAAACACATGCAAGTTAGAATCAAATTAATTCTAATTCCTATTCTCTTAAAGTAAATATACCACTTCGAGTTGTTTGATAACTATTTTGTTTTTTGTTTTTATTTTCATCTTCATTTTTTTAAACTTAGAATTAAAAAAACTTATTTAATAATTACTTTCATTTTCAATAAAAATTAATCTGAAAACCAAAAAAAAATAAAAACTACTTTCTTGAGTTTTGAAAACAAGTTTTCAGTTTTTCAAAAAACTAAATTTTTTTGAAACTAAAGCTAAATGCTATAAAATCATCCCTCTATGGTGACATAAAGACTTAGGGTTTGGGGTTGAGGAGACATGGGTGCTTTTAATACAAAATGAATAGCCCTGTCAATGGTGACAGAAGACTTGGGGCTTGTGGTTGAGGACACATGGGTGCTTTAAATACAAAATGGATAGCCATTTAGTACTTCGTCAGAAGACTTGGGGCTTGTGGTTGAGGGCACATGGGTGCTTTAAATACAAAATGGATAGCCATTTAGTACGGTATTCTGCTGTACTTGTAAGTGAAATGTCTCAAGTTTAATTCTAATCAAAGACAAATTTGAACACATTATTGTTAACCTATTGTGAGGTTAAACACTCTCTTAATGTAAATAGTATCGTTTGTTAAAAAAACAAGTTACAAAATGGATAAGCCCTATCAAATTTGGCATTACCAATCATGCATCACTAAAGCATAGAGGGCCCCTTTCTATATATATATCCATACGTGTTGCACTGTACGCCGTTTCCTAACTTAATTGCTCTGTTACTTGTTTCGGTGTCCATCTATCATCTATCACCTGTCTGTCTCTCATAAATTAAGTCCAACTGCTCTCTGATCTCAAGTCCCACACCATATCTAGAGCCCATGTCTTGGGGTATATCACAACTGCTAATCAAGTTGCGACGTGAGCATTCAACGAAAAACCAATTGAAACATGTCCAGAGGAGTAACCGAGCAAGATCATTCAAACATTCTCTCATGCAATGATTTACTTCCTCGATGTAAGATTCATACTGTCAAGTTCTCAACATGTGCACACAAAACCAAAAATTCTGTAATTTGAAGTCGAGTTTCAAGAACCCATGTTCATCTTGGGTTGCAAGAGAGCTGTCAAAAGAAAAGGGAAGTGATTTTTTAGGTGAAAAGAAAAGGCAGTAAAAACCATCTAACCAGCAGAGTCAATGCCGGTATGGTCGTGGGACGGTGATTGTCATGGATTGCAATTGCGCTTTACAGTGTCCACCAAAACCATCCAACCAAAACCGGTCTTGTCAATACAACAGAATAAAATTGAGAGATCACTGATACAGGTAACTCAGTATAATACATGTTTTACTACAGCAGAAAGAAGTCTCTGGCTAAAAAGGGATCACATGTACAAGTGTATCTATGAAGAGTTAAAAGAGAGAAATAAAACTCTATGAGGGCCGTCATTGTAAAATAAGATGTTTTCATGACGGCGGATTATCATCGGGGACATCATCGAGGATGAAAGTACCCAACTTGCCTGACCTAAATAATGTAAGAAATTTCTTTGATACCATCAAACGCGCTTCAGACCCCTTATTAGGTATCTTTAAGGCCGTTTGCAGTGCTTCAAACTGCTGCTCAATAAGTATCTCCAAGTCGCTCTCATCTTCTGGGTTGCCATTGAATTCTGACAGAGTTGAATACAGTGCACGTTGCACTTCGGTTACCATATCCTGAAAAGCAACATGAACAATACTAGAATTTTAGAAGACATAAAATCATAACAATATATTAGCTGATCACGCCGGAGATTCTTATCTAAGCTACACTTAAAAAGTGTCAGCTGCAAACTGATGAGCCACACATCTGGGGAGAAAAACTTAACTGCTAGTGTAAGAGTATCAGTGGGTTAGTGACCAAAGAAAATAAAAGATAAGCTCAAAATTCATATACACTCCTGACAATACTTGCAAATTACGAATTTAAGCTTTAAACGGGGGAAAAATGCTAATTATAATAAAGTTACTTGCAATAGGAATTCCCCAATTTGTTTCCTTACTTGAAATGTCAGTCAGATGACTTTAATATGAAAAATTTAGTTGTCACTTCCCGTTTGAAAGGTCATAAATGAGTTACTCATCTAAGTAACAAGTTAAGGAACAGAGTCTAGACAAGCCTATGGAGAATAGTGGCTTCACCTCCAAGCTTCTCGTAACATGTTAAGGACACCTTTCTTGCCCCTTACTTTCCATGACATCATATCAAACCATAGGTCCATAGTACATCGTGTACTATCCCTTCTCTTTTCCATATTCATGATTACCCAATCTATTAGAAGCATTACAATGCAGAGAACACAGGGAAACAAACAATCTACTTTCTACTAAGAAATCCAAACCTAAGTTGCAAATCACAAATGGTGTGGCACCAAACATCAAGTAACTTCAACTTGTAATAACCGCATCTTGAATTGACCGTACCTTTACAAATGACATAACCAAAAACCAAAAGAAAACAAGTCTCTATTGAGCTAGTATTAGTGGCGACTCCAACAAGTGAAGATTGTATCATACATGAATGTGAGAATCCTTTACCTCAGCAGTTTAATCCAGGTAAAACTACCAGAGTATTGTCTTGCACCTATAATGCCTACTTTTAAACAAATGACAGCAAAACGTTCATGATTTGATGTGAGACACCTTTGCTTTAGTGCTTAATCTACAATGTGGTTTCTCCTAGTCAGTAAACTGGTCCCAGGCTTATTCAAAAAAAATATATCCGTGTATGTTTCAGAAAGTTGGGCGGTGATGCTGTATGGCACAGAATGTTGGGCGGTGAAACATCAACACGTACACAAAATGGGTGTAGCGGAGATGAGGATGCTTCGTTGGATGTGTGGGCACACGAGAAAGGATAAGATTAGGAATGAGGATATCCGGGGTAAAGTAGGAGTAGCCGAAATTGAAGGAAAGATGAGAGAAAATCGGTTACGGTGGTTTGGACATGTGCAAAGAAGGCCTACTGACGCTCCGATTAGAAGATGCGACTATGGGACAGAGGTTCAGGGCCGAAGGGGTAGAGGAAGACCTAGGAAAACTTTGGAAGAGACTCTAAGAAAAGACTTAGAGTACTTGGATCTAACGAAGGACATGACACAGGATCGAGCACAATGGCGTTCTAAGATTCATATAGCCGATCTCACTCAGTGACTCGGATTTTCCAAGTCTCCAACCGAGAAGTTTTCTCACTCGGGAAATTAAGGGAACACTACCCCAACCTACATGCTCCACTCTGAAAGCTTCAACATACAAGCTTCAACAAAAGAAAATTCAAAGAACTTAGCGAAGAAGGCTTTGGTGTATTTAACACAATACGTTGAAATAAAGGAAAGCTTATTTATTGATATCCCCGATAAGCTACAAATATGTACATATACATGAGTCAAAATAAACACACAAGAGGGAGCCTTCACAAAGGTTGCTTAGGAGAAGTCTCAGCAGTCGGTAGAGCCCCAGAAAGAGAAGGCACCGGAGGGGGATCATTTGGAGCCTCAGTACTGGACAGAACCCTAGAAGGAGGAGGCATCAGAGGTTGATCATTTGGAGCTTCATTACGCGGTACAGCCCCAGAAGACGAAGGCAATAAATGCCTTTGGAACAAACCCACAAATCTCTGATGATCAAGTAAAACCTGACCATCAGTTTCCTTCATCTGGTCAAGCTTCCTCTTCATGTTTGTAGCATAGTCATGTGCGAGCCGGTGCAACTGTTTATTCTCATGCTTGAGCCCTCTAATCTCCTGTTTGAGACTTATAACTTCAGCCGCCAATGATTCAACTTGGCGGGTTCGAGCAAATAGGCGTTGGGCCATATTAGACACAGAACCTGCACACTGAACACTGAGAGCCAGCGAATCCTTAACAGCTAACTCATCAGACCGTTTGGAAAGTAGTCTGTTATCTTTGGGAGTGAGAAGGTTCCTGGCCACCACCGCAGCGGTCATATCATTCTTCATCACGGAATCCCCAACGGTAAGAGGACCAGTAGGGGAGACGAAGGATGGGCGCCATATGTTGTCTGGAGAAGGCGGGGCTGCCTCTTCAACAAGGTTCAAGTAAAACGACGGTCGGAGGGGCCAGACATTTTCAAAGGTGTTGAAGAGAGAAGAGGTCGGACAAATCAAGATCTTAGAAGTGCAAGAATGAAGCTTCTACTGGTGGAGATTCAAGTGTGCTTTGGAACTTAATGCCAGCCCCTATAAAAATCTGCACTCGACGGAGCTTCAGAAATCGAAGAGGCGCCTGCTCAGAAATCGAAGAGGCGTTTGCTTTCTCAAAAGCTGGGCTGCTTAGAGATCACGAGGGTTGATCTCAGAAATCGAAGAGGCGTTTGCTTTCTCAAAAGTTGGGCTGCTCAAAGACCACGAAGGCCGATCTCAGAAATCGAAGATGCGCTCGCTTTCTCAAAAGCTGGGCTCCCCAGAGACCACGAGGGCCGCTCTCAGAAATCGAAGAGGCACCTACTTTTCCAGCCTTGTCAGCACCTGTCACACGCACACTCAGCTTTGCGGAAATTATGGGCATTCTGTCAAAGACTTCTGGGGAAGTAGAAAACACATGAATCTTACTGTTCAATCACCCACTTCCCACACGCAACAATAGCTCATGGGTACCACATATAACTTTGCCAAAGTTCTCTGCCAAAGTTGAGCACGTGAAGCTTGCAGCTCCCACTACATCGCTCTGACCAAGAAGGGTAAAAGAATAGCAAAGAAACAGCACTAACAAAGTTTAGACCCATAAATTTTGAAGGTCTAGCTACCATATTATTACCCACAAGGGTAAAGGAACAGTACCACTGCTGGATAATTGGAAAGTCCCTGTGTGTCAACCTCTGTGCTTCGTGGCAAGGTAGACTAGCAAACATGCCCAACCTTTACTCACATTCGAGAAAACACTCCCAATAAGATTGCTTGCTCCAAAAATCGAAGAGGCACCATCCTCCGAATCTCGAGAGCCAGACTCCCAACATGACTACTTTCTTAAAAATCGAAGAGAGGGTAAAGGAACAGTACCATTGCTGGATAATTTGAAAGTCCCTGTGTGTCAACCTCTGTGCTTCGTGGCAAGGTAGACTAGCAAACATGCCCAACCTTTACTCACATTCGAGAAAACACTCCCAACAAGATTACTTGCTCCAAAATCGAAGAGGCACGCCAGACCCCCAACATGATTGCTTTCTCAAAATCGATGAGGCATCGTTCTCCGAATCAATCGAAGAGGCGCTCGCTTTCTCAAAAGCTGGGCTACTCAGAGACCACGAGGGCCGATCTCAGAAATCGAAGAGGCACCTACTTTTCTAGCCTTGTCAGCACCTGTCACACGCACACTCAGCTTTGCAGAAATTATGGGCATTCTGTCGAGGACTTCTGGTGAAGTAGAAAGCACATGAATTTTACTGTTCAATCACCCACTTCCCACACGCAACAATAGCTCATGGGTACCACAGATAACTTTGCCAAAGTTCTCTGCCAAAGTTGAGCACGTGAAGCTTGCAGCTCCCACTACATCGCTCTGACCAAGAAAGGTAAAAGAATAGCAAAGAAACAACACTAACAAAAGTTTAGACACATAAATTTTGAAGGTCTAGCTACCATATTATTACCCACAAGGGTAAAGGAACAGTACCACTGCTGGATAATTGGAAAGTCCCTGTGTGTCAACCTCTGTGCTTCGTGGCAAGGTAGACTAGCAAACATGCCCAACCTTTACTCACATTCGAGAAAACACTCCCAACAAGATTGCTTGCTCCAAAATCGAAGAGGCACCGTCCTCCGAATCTCGAGAGCCAGACTCCCAACATGACTACTTTCTCAAAATCGAAGAGAGGGTAAAGGAACAGTACCATTGCTGGATAATTGGAAAGTCCCTGTGTGTCAACCTTTGTGCTTCGTGGCAAGGTAGACTAGCAAACATGCCCAACCTTTACTCACATTCGAGACAACACTCCCAACAAGATTGCTTGCTCCAAAATCAAAGAGGCACCGCCCTCCGAATCTCGAGAGCCAGACTCCCAACATGATTACTTCCTCAAAAATCGAAAAGACACTGCTCTCCGAATCTCGAGAGTCAGACCCCCAGCATGATTACTTTCTCAAAAATCGAAGAGGCATCGTTCTCCGAATCTCGAGAGCCAGATACCACAGACCACCTTTTCAAAGTGCTCTGACAGAGTTAAAACATGTGAAACTGGCAGCTCCCACTACCGTGCTATGACCAAGCAGGGTAAAGGAATAGCATTACTACTTGTTAGGGAGACTCCTATATATGTCGACCTCCATCCCCAACGGACAGGCAGACCTGCAAAAATGCTCAACCCTTCATCATATCTAAGAGGGCACTCCCAACGAAGCCTTTCGAAATATTCAGCTTTCTTTCCCCCCGATAATACCTCTGCAAACAAGCTATACTAGAGCAAGAATATCTCATATCATCAGGGTTAAAAGCAAGAGTATCCCATATCATGCTTTTTCCCTGTCTTTTCTTTTGGCCTTGTTTTTACCTGCAAGACAAGGAGAAAAAGAGCAATCAGTCAGCACTTGGAATCAAGCTTCTAGCCAGGAACTGACTGCCTGGAACCCCTTACCTGATTACTTACCTGGCATTGCTCTCGAGTACTCATCTTCAACATCTTATGTTTCCAGGGAAGATTCCGCATCTGCTTGAGGAACAGATAGGGCAAGTGCGAAGGATACAAGGAAGCATGTGGAGACAAGCGTAACAGCACACATGCCGATACATCCATTACTCTGTCAAAAGCAAAAGTATCCCATATCAGCAGGGTGGAACGTACTCTAGATTTGATGGACTTGTTTTGACCCTCAAATTCTTCAGTCGGCCTTAATACTCTGGAGGAAACCAGAAAACCCTCCAGCCCAGTTCAAGAATAAGCCTGTGGAAAGTTACTTCTTCAAAAGCAAAAGTATCTCATATCATCTCTTCTCATTTTTCTTCTCTTTATCCTTCATGCTGCTGCAAGATGGGGAGAAGGTGAACAATCAGTCGGAGCTCTGATTGCTTACCTTGTCTGTCACCTCTTTCAGCAGACCCCCTAACTCGGCGACTTGGGGGACTCCTACTACATGGTTTGTATCGCGCTTGACCAAGCCTGAAACTACAAGTAAGCTTCAAGTGAAATTGATACATTACCTTGTGCATATCCACCAGTTAAAGATACCACCCTTGGATGGAGGAAGAGTACTTCCAGAGAAGATGCCACATCTACCTATGAGACAGATAAGGCAAGTCAAGACGACACCACACTCCGATACTTAGAAGTTTCGTGATTACGAGATCATTCTCCCACAATATTTCCTAATGTCATTTGTACTAAATCATTCACTTGTACTCACTAAAGGAGAGCTTGAACCTATGTACTTGTGTAAACCCTTCACAATTAATGAGAACTCTTCTATTCCGTGGACGTAGCCAATCTGGGTGAACCACATACATCTTGTGTTTGCTTTCCTATCTCTATCCATTTATATACTTATCCACACTAATGACCGGAGCAATCTAGCAAAGATCACAAAAAGCGACCGTTTTCGCTACCTAGGATCTATCTTGCAAGAGAACGGAGAATTAGATGGAGATCTCAACCATAGAATACGAGCTGGATGGAAAGAGTGCATCCGGCGTGTTGTGTGACCGTCGTAGGCCACTGAAGCTCAAAGGAAAATTTTATAGGACGACAATAAGGCCAGCGATGTTGTATGGCACAGAATGTTGGGTGGTGAAGCATCAACACGTACACAAAATTGGTGTAGCGGAGATGAGGATGCTTCGTGGGAGGTGTGGGCACACGAGAAAGGATAAGATTGGGAATGAGGATATCCGAGGTAAAGTAGGAGTAGCCGAAATTGTAGGAAAGATGAGAGAAAATCGGCTCCGGTGATTTGGACATGTGCAAAGAAGGCCGACTGACGCTCCGGGTCGAAGATGTGACTACGGGACAGAGGTCCAGGGCCGAATGGGTAGAGGAAGACCTAGGAAAACTTTGGAAGAGACTCTAAGAAAAGACTTAGAGTACTTGGATCTAACGGAGGACATGACACAAAACCGAGCGCAATGGCGTTCTAGGATTCATATAGCCGACCCCACTTAGTGGGAAAAGACTTTGTTGTTGTTGTTGTTGTTGTTGTGTATGTTTCAGAAAGTATGTTCTTCTGTTAGTGTTCAAATAAAGTGACTAAGCATATTAAGTTTGACATTACCACCATTACGCATTGTATATAAGGAAAGACAAGACCACAGTAATCTCAGTTACCTCAATGTACAGCACATCGGACTTATTTGGCACCTTCCTTCTATTAGGTCGAAGGTTCTTAAGGCTGTAACCAATTTTTCCCTCGGCTTCATATTGAATCCCTTCCATTCTCCTAGTATTTGAGTATTTCCAGTGAAAAGGCGTCCCTCTTGAATTTAGAACTGCGAGTAAGTATTGAGCAATTCGATCCTCCCCTACCACTGAGTCCTTAATAGATCCTGCATGTTCACTTGACTAATAAGGTTCACTGAGATGGACAGAAGCAAACAAACTACATCATGCCCCTGGTTCCTAAGAAAATTCTGAGTGAAGTTATTCAACCCAATTCAAGATTAGCATGATACCTTCATTCTTATTTCAACACATGGAAGTTGAACCCCCTTCAAAATCTTATATTTAGCTAATCAGAATTTCATTCAACACGGATGTTCAACGGCATAAATAGGCGTTTGACCCTATGCTTAGATTGTCCAAAGATTTGATCCTCTCTCCATTTGCCAACAGTAAAAAAACAACTAAGCTAACAAATTACAAATTCAATTTACATATCCAATGAGCCGGATACACCTAAGCGTATATATGGACCCTGAACCAAAGATACAAGATGAAAGTTTCAAAAGAGAGAATGTGAAGGTGATTGCCAACAAACTTGAGAAAGGACAAACCTGCTAGAGCTAGCTTTAACCCCGTCTCTATGTCAGGGATACTTGGAACCAAAACACCTGGAGTGTCAAGAACATATATGCTAGGCTGATGAGCAATCTGTACATAAGAAATTAAAAAAAAGCTAGGGAGTAAGGACGAGAATTTTCCATTTCAAATCAACAAGATAGAGGAAAAAGGGGAAGAAAGAATTACAAGAAAAGCATTAGAAGACAAAAGAAACAAAAAATTAAGAACAGAGACACTTGATTATTTTGTTTAAAATGAGAAATATCGGAAAGTGTACAGTCGGCTGAGAGACTCAATATAAGAAAGAAGTGGGTATTATTCATTGTTAGACTGTTTTTCTTTTGATCAAGAGAGTTTTTTTGTTTCCGAAACACTGAAAGAGAAATTATTCATCGGCTAGTCTGCATTTTCAATTTGGTGTGTAATGAATATGAAAAACTTAATCAAGAGAAAAAACTACTTCACCTTGAATCCAGCAATGTCCTGAGTAACGCCAGGCAATGGACCCACTGTAGCGCGCTTCATCTTCCCCTGAACTATGAAAGAAACCCGACCACTGTCATTCTTCAATGTGGATTGCCTGAACTCCAGGGATATTAATAACTTAAACACATTTCCACCACCAATATAGCATTCACAACAACTACCTCTTACCGGGAAAGCGAGATGATGCAATCCGATGAATATTATTGATTAGAGCTGATTTCCCAACATTAGGAACACCAACCACCATAACAAGCAGAGTAGGTTCCCTCGAAATCGCTTCCTTCAGCTTATACTCCACCAGGTCGAGAAGCTTCGATAACCCAGTGCACATTTAAGGATTTAGAACCCAAAAAAGAAATCAAAATCACAAACCAAAAATCAAAATACCTTGGAAACGGAACTCCTGCTATGTGCATTTATAGGAAGGCAATCTTGCTTGGACGATTCGAAAAACCGAGTCCATTTCTACAACAATCAAACCAATACAAACACGAAATTCATCAACAATTTGATTATAACAACACCAAAAAAAAAAAAAAACGAGTTGATGTTAACATTACTTGCATGATATTGGTATTGGCGAGGTCCTTCTTGTTGAGGACAATGAGGGAGCGTTTGGCGCGGAGTTGGGGCTGGAGGTCTTGGTTGGCAGAGGACAGTGGAATCCGAGCGTCGCGGACCTCGATAACGAAGTCGGCGAGCTTGAGGCGATCGCGGATGGCCCGTGTGGCGGCAGCCATGTGGCCTGGGAACCAATTGATGGCTCCGCCTCCGGTGTTGAAACCCATCTCTCCCAACCCCATCATCCCCTTCTTCACCAACCCTTTTGACCCTAACCCCATTTCTAAATCTCTCTCTGGTTTCTACAAGCCCTGAATTGAGGAAGCTTTGCTGAAATGTTGACGGTCTCCGACTCTGGGCGGGTTTCAGTGGGAGTTTCAGGGAGGGTTCATAGGGTTTAAGCTAGGTTTATTCAAGCCAATGGTTCATAGGGTTTAAATCGCCGTTTAAAGCTGGGGGATTTTAAATTGGTCCTAATCTTTTAAAAGATTTTAAATAATTATTTAATATTTTGAAAAATTTATATTTGTTAGGTTCGTGTGATGATGTGGACAATTATTAAAGGGTAATTGCCATAAATGACCAATTTTTTTTTAATTTTAGGAGTGAAATAGGATAAATCGGCCATGCACTTCATGCACAAAAGTGAAATGACGAAAATACCTACATATAAAATGTACAAACTCATAGGTGATGTGTCATTTTTCTGATTTCGAAGAGAGAGTTGTGAGCTCTGGGTTTTTGGGTTGACTCAGATTTGTAAGCATATCATGTGCATGTCTTGTGCATGTCGCTGGAAATAGATGAATTTTAATGGGATTTCCAGAATCTAGGTTCAAGTCAAATATTTGTAAACTACAGATTTTTAAGAGATTTCCAGAATCAAGGCCCTTACATATCTCCCAACACCGTTAATTGCATGATACACATCTACAACAAAACCGATACACGTTCCAAATATTGCATCAAGAACCCTAATTTCTCACAGTAAAAAAAAAATCTCAAATTAAAAAATTGAAAGCTCCGATCTTTGCCGTGACACTCAAATTCTAAAAAATAACCCATTGCATCAATAAGACAAGGGCTAAGAAAAATAATAGGATATAGAGAGAGATGAGATTGTGGAGAATGTTGGTGGGACAATCATAGTTGTTCCTTGGAGACCTTCATGGAGGACGCCCGTGTGCTTGGCTTCCAACGTCAACACAAAAGAGTTGCGTGCCCAGCTCAGTCAATATTCAATAATATTGAAGCTTGGAAAGATATTTATGGGTGTAGGAGGACTGGATGTTTCTCTCTCTGTCCTTTTCTTTCTCTATAAAATGAGAAATGAGAGTTGGAATTTCTACGTAATCCATTTATATGGAAGGGCAATTAGGTCATTTCATGGTATAGAAAAAAATTCCTATTTCTGTCCTATTGTTGTACATGGCGTGTGCATACTCTGTGCATATTCGATTTGTCCTATTTCAGTCTTTAGATTAAGAAAATGGGTCATTTTTGGCAATTTCCCATTATTAAAGGGGGTTTCATTCTCAAGTCATCTATAAAGCTTTGATTTTCAAATTGACGCAATTTAGCTGAGCAAATTTATGACTTAACTTGGTTGAAAAGAGTCAATTTGAAGAATTAGAGCTCCAAAAATGACAATTAGTAAATACCAACCTTAGTATTTGTCCACCTGACCATTTATTGTTAGAAAATCGTCACTTAATGTTGGTTAAGTCATCAGTTAACATTGGTGACCCAACAAATATCTCATTTTTCCTTACTCATTAGTTTAAGACAACAAATGTCTAATTTTTAAACGTTAGGTAGTTATTTGAAATGTTTTAAAAGGTGAGACTAATTTGAAACACACTAAAAAATTGGGTAGTTATCCGTTCTTTGGTCTCTGAGATTTGAAATCAATAGAAGTGGTCCCCTGAGATTATCCACCATCAATCATTTTGGTCCTTCAGTAGACCTGACAATTTCTTGCATGACCTGTTACATACAACACGTAAACGACACGAAAATAAGAGTTTCGGGTCAACACGATAACTCATTAGGTCGTTATCATGGTCACATCATAAGAACCTGTTAATAACGGATCCTTAATAGGTTTACACAAGTGACATGTGTATAACCCGTTTCAACATGTTAAGAAAAAATGTATTTTGATGATTTTAATTTTTCAAACTAGTAAAAAACCTTACTATAAAATACAATAGCCATAGTGTATATGTGTATGTTGTCTATTAAATATGTATTATTGTATTATTATTCTATATAAATTTTAAAAAATTAAGTTTTATTTGTTTATATATTTTTAAAGTATACTATAGGCAAAGAGAGTGAGATTAAAAATTATAAAACACATTAAAAATAAAAATATCAAGTAATTTAAAAATACCAAACATATTAAAAAAAATTAAAGTGCAAAATATGTAAAGAAATATGCCAATGTTCATGATCGCATCCTTTACGCTTTGAGAATGGGTACATCATCGTTTGAATTTTTAAAACTATAGAAACCTCATGAAATGCAACTCTCTTTATTTTGCATATCCTTGAACATTTAGTATTTTGTAGTAACTTTTATTTTGGGGTATATAATACTTGAAAGACAAATGTTTTTTTATTATTTTATTATTTTTTATGTTTTGAAGTAATATTTATGTGACAATTCAATATGCATATACTAATTTAGTATTATGATTTCCATTTTTTAGGTCAAATTATGTTTTTCATTTTCATTATTTACTGATTTAAAATATATTTCTTTAACGGGTAACGGGTCGAATCATATTACCTGATAATATTAACGGATCGATTTCAGGTCGGGTCATATTACCCGTTTACATTAACAGATGTTACACGATACGACTTGTTAAGATATTAGGTATATCATGAAAATGATACAAACACAGAAAACACGACACAAATGTCAGGTCTATCATTTGGTGAAAAATTATGTTAATTAATGATCAAAATGACAAAATGACCCTCAATTTAATAAACAATAGGCCAAAATGATTTGACAAAAATTGAGGGCATTTTTGTCATTTTATCCTTATTTTATGAAGATTTTTAATGGAATGACCAAAATAATTAATTATGGACAAATTGATGGACCAATTCTATTGATTTCAAATCTCATGGACCAAAGTAAGGAGTTATGTAAATCTCAATGACTATTTTGACTAAAAAGCCATTTTTTTTTCCTAAAAAAAAAGTCTAGTTTAGATAATATCTATATATATATATATATATATATATATATATATATATATATATATATATATATATATATATATATATATATATATATATATATATATATTCGTGAAAGAAAGAGCCCTTGTTGTCCACGTGAAAATATAAGTTTAAAGGAAAAAAATAAGTTGCTGACTATCACTCTCTCTCTCTCCAGTCTCAAAAAAAAAACAGTATTTAGCATTACTTAAAAAATAAGTTGCAGAATCTCAACAAAACCTCTCAAACAACCAACCGCAAAACGATGGTCGCCGATGATAGCATCAACGTTGGAGGCTAGGGTTTTGGGGTGACTGTGAACCCATAACAAGGTCGCGTGGAACAAGTCTTCATGTGCTTTCCATCTATGCAGTCTGCTAGGTTGTAGATGAGCTTAAGGGAGGGATAGTGGGACTAGGCTACGGAGGGAAATTTGCTTTAGATATGTATGGGATGCCTGATCCCCTAGTTCTACCTTGAAATACAAATCAAGGCAAGGGTTGTCCTACTTGCTAACAAGATGATAATCAGTTGTAGTAGAATACGCATCCAATGATGATAATCTTTAGACCCGGCAGTTTCTTACACGACACGAAAATAATGGGTTTCGGGTCAACATGATAACTAATCGGGTCATTATAATAGGTTCTTAACGGGTATACACACGGGTAACACGTGGGTAACCCGTTTTACCCATTAAGAAAAATAAATTATAATTTTAAAGTTTAATTACTAAAAAATTTATTATAAAATACAATAGCCATATTGTATATATTGGTATATTCTATATTAAATATATATTTTTGTATTATTATTCTATATAAGTTAAAAAAAATTAAGTTTTATTCATTTATTTATTTTTATTATGAGAGTTTCTTATTATCATTAATAAGATAAATTTTACTTAAAATGTTGTTGTCCAAAATTAAAATCAACTAGTATAATATTAGTATAGGCAATAAGACATCCCTACAAGTATGAAAAATGTGAAAGAATATATAAACACTCGTGATTCATCATTCCTCCACGAGTAGACAATGGTTACACTTACATTATTATTTAGATTTTTAAAACCCTCCAAACCGTCATGAATAGTGTTTTTATTTGAGTGTAAAAGTAATAAAATTAATAATAATTATTGTAGAAGTGTAAGAAATGTAAAAAAATATATACAATTACTCGTAGTGATAAGCTTTACAACTTTCGTGAAGGGGTCAACTCCGAAATCCAACACTATAATCCATAAACCTTAAATTTGTATTTGACCGTCGATCGTCGTTTAAGCTTTATTCTTTATATTGAATTTCATTTTTAAAATTTTCTTTTTTGAAAACATGATCTTCTGGGGGATGTAGGAAGATGAACGGTTCAGATTTTTGATGTCACGTCTCAATTTTTACGGTAAATTGAAATATGAGTCGATGTTATATAGTTTGTAGAAACTTTAGTTATAAACACCAAACAATATTTTCACTAACGGTAAAACTCTGAACATAATATCAACGATCCAAACCGTTCATATTCTTGTATCCTCTAATAGATCATGTTTTCAAAAAAGAAAATCTGAAAAAACAAAATTTGGTGAGAAAAATGAGCATAAATGTAAACAACAATCGACAGTTAAATTTTGATCTATGATTTATATGATTATAGTGGCACATTTCAAAGTTAAGCCCTTCACGAAAGTTGAAAAACTTGTCATTACAAGCGTTTATATATATTTTTCACACTTTTACATTAATTAAAAAAATTATTAAAGGCTTTACTTAAACAGTAGCCATAGGATAAATGAGAAGAGAGTGCTAATGTAGAAAGCCTCACTGAAAATATCATCAATATAACTCTTGAAGACAATATATCAAGTCAAAGTTCCAATATCATTTCCCATGGTGATTGATGAAAATTGAAAGAGTTTGATTGTAAGAAAATGTGCAAGGTTCCAAACCTTGAAACATTAACTCCCTTAATTTTGTAAATCTTTTGAACATTTGATATTTTGTAATGTTCTAATGTTTTTTTTAATTTTTTTATTATGCTCTTATTTTGGGTATGTAAATATGTAATACTTGAAAGACAAATGCGTTTTTATGTTTTAAATGTGATAATATGGTATGTATATACTTATTTGGTATTATGTTTTTCATTTGATATTTATTGGTTTAAAATATATTTTTCTTAACAGGTAACGGATTGAGTCATATGACTTGTTAATATTATCGGGT